AATGAGTTTCGTCAAATAGGATATGGCGACAAATAATAATTTTATTGGATGTTAAATCTAAACATTTATATCCTCGATGATTTTTCGGATACCCAAGAAAGACACACGGAGTGGAGCGAGGTTGGAGCTTATGTATCATAGTGGAAGGAAATAGAGGATAACATAAACAACCAAACACCCGTAAATGTGAGTAAGAGGGTTCTTTGTGATATAACATTTTAAGTGGTGACTCAAAAATTTTGGTTTTGTTTGGAAAAATGTTTAAGAGATATGTTGCCATTTCAAGAGCATGATGCCAAAAAATAGGTGGTAAAGACGCGTGAATTAATAAAGCTTGAATAATATTATTAATGGAGCGTATTTTTCGTTCAAATTTTCCATTTTGAGATAATGTATAAGGGCAAGACAAACGAAATGACATTCCATTAATATCACACATGTTTCAAAAATTAGTATTGACGTATTCACTACCATTGTCACATTGAATTGTTTTAATTTCTCGTTGAAATTGGGCGTTGATGTAAGCCTTTAGTTTTTGAAAATTGGAATATACTTGAGATTTATTTGACATTGAAAAAGTCCACAAAAAATTTGAGTAATTATCAAAGAAAAGAACATAATATTTGTGACCTAAAGAGCTTACAACGGGAGATGTCCATACATCGCTATGTAAAATATCAAACGACAAAAAACTAGTATTGTTTGAATTCATGAAAGGCAGCTTGATATGTTTACCAAGAGGACAAGAACAGTATAAACGAGAATGTATTTGTCTAGATTTATTACATGCAAGAACAGAATGAAGTATGTCTTGTGTGATAGTTGCATACATCCATTGCAGCACAACGACATCTAGACGATTCCAAAGGTCGAGATCGTTGGCTTTGACGGTGGCTGCCTCAGCACGAGCTTGCTCGTCAATAGGTGGTATGATGTGATCAAGCAAATTATGAACACGCGCTTGCACGGTGAATATAGTGGACCAAGAGAGATAAATATCAGAGTCATTATCCAACGTCACTGGTATTATGTTTTTGACGTTGTAATGGAGAAAGCATAATGAAAGTTGGTTTTCGCCACAGGAGGGGATTGATTCATCGGTGACAAAGTGTCGTCACCGTTGGATGGGGAAGAAGAAGAGGTGTTAGTCATGGTGAGATAGAAAAGCTAGAGTGGCTAAGAGGGATATATTTGGATCGTGTAGTCTGATACCATAAAGAAATATCATTTCATGCTTTCCATTGATGTGATATCATAAATATATATAATTGTTGCCAATTCCATTTTTAGAAAGAATTGATGTCTCATGAATACAATTACATACAGAAATAATGACATATCATTTTCTATTAATATGAGGCATCAATAGAAATAATAATAAATCATTTTTTATTAATGGAGATATTCTATTATCATCGTATTAAATTTTTTTATCTTACTCAATTTTTTTTTGATTTATGTATATCGTTTATTAGTGCATTCTATATTTTATTCAAATTTATTGTGGGGAATTTTGACGTGTATAAGTTGGTGCATTGTTATGAGTTTTGAATCAATATTTATCAATCAATTACAAGCAATGCGTATTGTAATATTGTTTTAGATTAAATATTGTATTATCTCTTAAATTTTGTCACTCAAAAGATGAAGGTGACAATAGATTTATTCTTCCAACAATGTGAGTTGTGAAGTGGATGATAATGAATGCAAGTGTTTTTTTAGTTTTCTCATGACTTCATTAACTGAATCTTTTTTATGTGTGACTGCACATTTATATATGTATTACATATTAATTGAACAATGTGTATTGCGAGATTCAATTACCACATTTTCCTTATTGTTTTGTTGGAAACCAAGTGTATGGTAATTAATGTTTACTTTTCTCATAACTTCATTAACGAGATACAATTAATATCTCACCACTTTTCACATCGTTATTAAATTTTATTACAAATGAAGCATATTATAATGAATATTGGTGTCTTTTTAGTTTTCTCACAATTTTATTACTTCTGATCTATTATTTTTTAATTGTCATATTTATAAATAAAAAATATTTGTTCCTATTTAATAGTCACTTTAAAACCATTCGTTATTAAATTTTGTTGAAAAGCAAGTACATTATAGTGAATATTGATGTCTTTTTAGTTTTCTCATAATTTCATTATTCTCGATCTATTTTTTTCTTAATTGTCACATTTGCAAAAAAAAATATTTCTTCATATTTAATTGTCACTTTAAAAATATAAGATTATAATTTATCAATTATACTATTACTTTTTAAATTAGATTTATTTACACATTTACTCATAATTATTCCACCGTTTTAAATTGGCTTATCAGTTTCAAGATTTGAGATTGATGTAACGTGCATATTACTATATGTTACTATCAATGGAATTTCAAGAGGTCAATTTTTAAAAAAAAATTAAAGAGGAGTTTAAATATTTTCTCTCTTTAAGTGTGAACTCTTTAGCAAGAGTTTCTCTTAATCAATGTATGTAATGGAAAAAACAAAAGAATTCATGAAAGAAAAAATAGTGAAAGATTCATTGGAAAACAATGAAGAAACAATAGAGAATTCATCGAGCAACAATGGAAAAAAAAAAGTGAAAGACTCATTGGATAACAATGGAAGACTCATTGAACAACAATAAAGAAGAATCAATAGAAGACTCATTAAACAATAATAGAGAGGAAATAGTAGAAGACTCTTTGAATAACAATGAATAAGAAAGGGAAAGACCAATATTAAATTTTGATTTAAATGAAGAGATTGAATATAAATTTAATTTGAATAAATTTCAAAGAATAAAGAGAAAAGTCTTTCCAAGCTGCAAAGAAGTTTCGTCTAATGATTAAAAAGATGTTAAAAAGAAATCTTCCTAAATTTTATTTATATTTTGGAAATGTTTAAATCTATGAAATAGAAAGAAGTTCTTCCTTCTTCATAAAAATCGTGTAACTTTTTGGTTTTACTTTTTGGTTTTGAATGCAAATGAAAGATGCTGACGTTTTTATTTATGAAAATTCGGTAGATTTTAAGAGTGATTCTATGTAACCTCTCTAGCAATTGTTTGGTTTTTTTTCATTAAATGTTTTTTTAATGATTTGATTCAATATTATTAAAGTGTTTTTCATAATTTGGGAATGCTTTTAAGATATTCCTAATTTTTATATATTTTATTATTATGTTTAATATAAAATATCTATGATAGGATACACTAGTTTTCTTAGTTTTTTTATGTGAAGTACATAATCTACTGTCTATTGTGTGTAGTCTTTTTAAACGGACTTTTTCGTTGAGAATTATTTATCATATAAAAGAAAAAATATGCTAAAAATTAAAGGAATGAAATTTATAATTTGTGTTCTTGTTTTTTTTAATAGTGTGGAAGTGACTACAATCCAGTTACAATAAGTATAATTCGGTGGTTAGGTATTTGAAAATTTCTTGTATTATAATTGGATCACACTTCATTTGAATGTATAATTGTTCTTCTTTTTTTAGTCTTTTCTTATTTAGATGTGGAATTTTATATTTTATTACAATCATTGACTTTCATAATTTTTATCATGCATAATTGCATTGTTACAAAGATGTGATTGGACTTCACAAATGAAAAGTTTTCAAATCGATAGTTTTAGGAGACTTTATTATAATGATTGTATTGCACTGAAAAATCCAAGGTCTAAGACATTCAGATTAAGAAAATTTGCAGATTAACACGTCAAATAAATATCAAATCCATCTTGCGTGGTTTCTTGAATGAACTTTTGATCATCATAACTAATATGATTTCTTACATTATCTTATTGGATAAATATTATAGTGCCAAAATCATCTCTTATTCATTTTTCCTTTATAGTCAACAAGACGTTTTCAATAAGAAATGATCTTATGACATCTCTATTTCTTGGTGTTATTGCTTTTTTCTTCATTGTTTCTGCAACTCGGCTAACACTTGTCCTTTTAACTGGTTCCTTGTTAACAAATGAAGAGAAGAAAAAAAACAATTTTACCAAAAAAAAAATCATTTTCTTGCGAGTCAAATCTTGGTTGAGTTAGAGCAACTAAAAAATAACTTTGAAAGTGTAATTTCTGTTTTTACATATATGATGTGGTTCATCCTCCTCTGATAGCAAATAATAGTTCTCAGATTTTTTTAGTCATGTAAAATCACTTTTCATCAAATGAATAATATTGTACATACTTTTAAACATTGGATATATCATGTGGTATACCTTCAAGAATTAACAAACAAAACTCCAAGCTAATTCTTTTGTTTTCTTCTTTTAATAGTGAGTTTATCATATTTGAATGACATCATATAACTTGTTGCAACTGGTTTTAAATTATAGAGTCGTTATCCTTAATTTTTATCATAAAGGAAGGGAGTATAAAAGAATAATCCTAAAAGTCAGAGATTCTAGATTTGGATTCGGTTTTAAACGTAGATTTTGATGAATTGCGTGAATTTTAATATCTTTATAGAATATCGAATTAATTATTTGAGAAGAAAAATTGTATATATTTTGATAATTAAAAAAAATTAAATAATTCAATGAGTAAAATTACCTAACTTAAAATAAATTAATCTAAATGATCAAATGTAATAAACCTAACTAAAATAATTAAGACCCAAAATGATTATAACATTTAAAAGACATAATATTAAATAATAATAAACAAAAACAAAATAAACTAAAATAGAATAAAATACAAAATATTTGTATGGTAAACAATAAAAGAAAAGAATAGAAAATATAGGGTATCCACTCTCATCATTCACGTTCAACAAAAAAAATGGTAATGGAACTCCAAAAACCAAATTTTGCTGCTGAGTCAAAATAGCCACACAATTAACCACTTTCTACTTAAATTGAAGTAATTTATTTATTTCAAATTAAAAAGAAAAAAAAAACAATTAATGAATAAATCTTGAAAACAAATAAATAAGAAAACGTAGCATCAACTGAAGATGTATCAAAAGCAAATGTATCTTCCTCTTTCTCCAACGCAAAAACGCGGCTGCTCTTCACTTCTGAAAAACGTAGCAAGACAACTAGATCTAGGATTTCAGAAATTAAAGCTCGGAACTCTTCTCCTTCTTCCTGCTTCTAGTTTCTTCGTTCGTCCCTCTGTATACTGTTTTTTTTTTCTTGCTGCAATTTTTTTATTCTCTCTGTGTACTGTCTTTTCTCCTCCCTCCTCTTACTGTAATTTAGGTTTTTATAGCAATCGTTGGGAAATTTATTTTAGAAAATATTTTAATTTGTCTATAATTTTGGGTATAAAATTTCAAATTGTTTCTGCTTCTGGTTTTTTTCCGTATTGATGAAGATTTGTAATTAGTACTTTGAATGTTAATAAAATTGTTTCTGTTTTGAGTTGATTTTGTCCTGTTTTGATATTTTGATATCAAAATGTGATGAGATATGATTTGAACACTTCATCTTTTGATCCAAATTTAAAGTTTGATTGAATTTAGAGTAGAATAAAGAGATTTGGTGTGAAATTAATCTGATTTACTCTGCTTTTGGAAAGATTTGACTTTAGAATCCTCTGTAATCAATTTTGTTCAATCTGCAGATGAAGATGAAGATTTAATTTTTCAACTCGTAGGTTAAGTTTCTTTGTTATTTATGGATTTTTGGATTGTAACTGCAAATTTGGATTAATAGAAACCATATGTGACTTTTATTGATTCTTTCAAATATTTTACTCAAAAGGCTTAAAACTTCATTGATTATTTTAAAAACAAATTAAATCTATTAGCAACATAGGTGTAAAAAGTATTATAGGAACCAAAAGATGTTGTGGTACAAACAGCACGCCAGGACTAGCAGAACTAAGTTATAATATAACAAAACTTCATTGATTTAATATAACAAAACGTGATTCTATCCTAAAAATGAAAAATAATAATCTAATTATAACCAAAATATTAATGTTAGAACTTAATAATAACCATAGTAAAATAACAATCAGTACTTCTAAATGAAAAAAAGGAAAAAAATCCTAATGAGTATTAACATAGAATACAAATTTTAAAGCTAAAAATATAATGATTATAAAAATTAAAATATTATTATATTTTTTTTTACTTCTAAAATTCACAATAATAAGAAATTTAAGTCTAAAGGAAAAATGAATACAATTAGATAGAAGTTTAAAAAATGAAGAAAAATAACAAGGAAGAGAGAGGTGGAAATTGGACTCAGGTATTCTCACCCTTGCACTCTTTATTCACTTTATATCCCTTACGCTAATGTATCATTCAAGATAAAATAATACTACAAAATACATGAAGAGTAAGACAGATTTGGAGTATGACATAACTCATGATTTTAAAAGCCTAAACACAAAAGATAAAGATAAGATGTTTGTTCTTCATCTCAAAGGAATTTTTGACTAATTTTAGTAGGATCAATTTGAATTCTCTTACATCGGTAATTTTTTGTCTTCCTATAAAACACATTATGTATTTCACTTTCTTTTTTCTCTTTTCCAAATATGTCGAATAATTCTCAGAAACAAACCACGTAATTTTTCAACAACACTTTTTTTTATAGTAATTGGTGATAAATAGTTGTGCATTCTTCATTGCTTAAAATTTTTAATTTCTTTCTTTAACTATTTAGTCCATCTTCGATATTTTCTTTCCTATTAAATACACCTTCAAAATTTTCTTCACTATTCAGTGCGTGTTAAATATTTTCTTCCATATTTAGTACACCTTCAATATTTTGTTCACTATTTAGTACATCTTCAATATTTTCTTTCATATTTAGTACACCTTCAATATTTTCTTCATTGTTTGGATTATCTTTAATATTTTCTTCCATATTTAGTGCACCTTTAATATTTATTCACTATTTGGCGCATCTTCAATATTTTCTTCCCTATTTAATTCATCATCTATAATATTTTATAAACCTATAAAAAACAATAGGCAAGAATTATATAAGTCGAGCAATATATTCTTAAAAAAAATACTCCAAGGATGTTAGAGATATACTATACTAGTTAGGGATTAAAGATTGTAATAAATATAGTTGAATATATGTTGTGAACGTTAGTGCTCCGTTACTAAATGTGCTTCTGTTAAGCTTGCTCTAGTTAGTTAGGTGTCAAAACTAACAGATCAGTTAGTCCAACTGTATATATTGTTGGCACTGTGCTATTGGCCATTTCAATTAATGGTCAAAACTTTATCTCTTTCCTTAGCCATATGTTTCTCTTTTTGCAACTCAACTTCACAGAGTGAAGTATGAGCTCTGTGTTTGTATGTTAACATGGTATCATTCACTTGTTTCTGATCATCCATGCTTCCCTGAGCGTCGAAGTTCGATTCATCTCATTCATCTCTTCGTTTTCCCTCTTCTTGCAAAAGCTTCAAGGTTTGTTAATGGAGTCTGGAAATCAAGAATCGATGATCAAAGATTCAGCTCAACTGTAAGACGCCTCTATGATGTTTTCTTCGAAGAAATCCAACAACTCCTTTGGACCAAAACTCTTTATCAAGATGCAAGAGAACAACTACCTGTTATGGAATCAATAGGTTAAAAGAGTGATTCTTATGCAGAAGATGCATAAGCTTATCGTGAATCCTCAAATTCCTCAGAAATTCAAGACCGCTCAAGATCTTCTTACATGTATAATCTCTGATGAATATTAGACATGGATTGCTCAAGAGCAGGCGGTGTTTATCTGGCTTATGTCTATGATTTCTGAATCCGTCTTGCCTAGGGTTCTTGCATGCAAGCACGCATTTGAAGTTTGGGATAAAATCCACCAATTCTTCAATGCAAAACTAAAAGCTAGAGTGAGGCAATTGCACGTCGAACTCAAATCCACATAGAAGGGTAACAGGTACACCATAGAGTTTGTTTTGCGCATCAAAGCAATAGCGCATTCTCTGTTAGTAGTTGGAGACTCCGTCACTAAGCAAGATCAAATTGATGCGATTCTTGAAGGCTTGCCTGAAGAATTTAATTTGTCCGTTATGCAAATGTATGGGTGTCATGTACCACCTACACTTTGGGATGTTGAAGCCTTTATCTATGTGCAAAAAGCACAACTTGACAAGTTTTGTCAAGAATTAGAAACATCTATTATTGTCAAGAATTGTCAAAAAGCACTCAATCTCCTCTTGCTAGCATAAGTTTGATGAAAATTTCATTCCTCAAGAAAGTCCTGCTTCTCAGTCCAACTCTGTAACCAGCTCTCACCACAAACAAGAAGAATTTTAGGACACTGCAAAAATCACTCAAGCTATGGCTATGTTGGCTGCCACTCAATAGTAATATTTGCCTTCTGAATTGGAATCCCAAGCCTGATTTGCAGACTCACGTGCTTCACACCATCTAACTCCCTATGCTTCTCTATTACAAAATAAACAATCTTTTGTAGGACCTAATAAGGTTTGTATATGAAATGGACAAACCCTTGTTATTCATTCTGTAGGATTCATGCGATTTCAGCCTAAGTCTAGTCCCACACATAAGCTAATACTTACCAATGTTCTTCGCGTGCCATCTATCACTAAAAACCTGTTATCTGTTTCAAAATTCTCTAGTGTTAATAATGTTATATTTTAATTTCTTCCTAACAAGCACTATATCAAATCTCAGGCTTCTAAACAAATAATTTTTTAAGGAGTTCTAGATGCTAGTGGTCTGTATTGCTTCCCTCAGCTATCCTTGGAGCTAACCAACTCCCACAACTTGCATGTGAACCACATGATTCCTACTGGTATTCATAGCTATTTTGTTTCTGATTCTATTGCTAATAATCCAAATTCTTGTACTACTACTTGTAATACTAGTACACTCTGGAATTATAGGTTGATAACGCAATTTTATATAGTATATTTGGCTTAATTTTCATAGGTAATGTTAGTAATTTTATTTAATTATTTCATTTTATTTCCATATTACGTTGGTATTTCTTTTGTTTCAGGTATTTGTATTAAATAGAAGATAAATTGAGAAAAGAAAGAAATTGAGATTAAAAAGCCAAAGAAATGAAGTAAAAGGGGTGATATAGCAAAGAGGAGGAGTTAAGAAGAAAGAAATAATTACAAAGAAAAAGACTAAGCCCAGAAGAGCAAAAACCCACGCAGGCAAGAAAACCATGCAAGAGTGAGACGCACGTCTCAACTCTCCTCCTACAATTGAGGCGCCCGCCTCGGACTTTCCCCTTAGTGGGAGGCGTCCGTCTCAGCATGGTCAAAGGAAGAACAAGTCAATGGAGGCGCCCGTCTCAATGTGGGCAAGTAAGAAACGAGAAATTCATGGATATGTGTCCCATGTTCTCCCATGATTTTGGTAGTTATTCCCATGTTCTCCCATGATTTTGGTAGTTATTCCCATGTTCTCCCATGATTCTGGTAGTTATTCCCATGATCTCCACTAGCCTTCGTACAACATGGAAGCGGGAAGTTACAAATGAAGCCTATAAATACAAGTTCAACCTTCAGAGCAAGGGTCGGCGAATTTTACCGAACAACCGTTATTTAGTCTTTCTTTATTTTTCTGTTTTCGTATTTTCTTTTCAGTTTTGTATTTCTACCATACTTTTCTAGTTCGGTTTCTTTCTTTAGTTTTTATTTTAGTTTAAGTTTCTATAATTTTCACTGATCTAACCTTACGTTAGATCTAGTGCCCTTTTTATTTCTTGTCGTAATTTTTATTTTCAATTCAAGAAGTCTCCGAGCAGATCCAACCGACTTGTGGGGGAATGCTCGTTTATTTCGAAGAACAAGATTATTCAAGCATTATTATTATGTCCAGGTTCTTAATATAATTATTTTAATTTATTTAATTAATTATTTGCATGAGAGATATTTATTTAGCCATGAATTTATTTACGAATGTTAATTCCTTTAATGTATTCATGTCTGCTTTTATGAGTATGTCTGGCTAAATTATTTAAATATCGGTATGTAACGAGTTAATTCGAATGGATCCGGAATAAACAGGCTTAATTATATTTCATAAAATAAACACTTTTTCTGATTTAGTTATCTAGTTTATTTTGTTAAAAAGGTTTAGAAACCAACAGAGCGACAGTTTGAGGTTAATAAACCGACTAAGATTAGAAACCAATAGAGCGACAGTTTGAGGTTTAGAATCAGATAGTAGATGCTAGGTATTGTTTTTAAAGATGGCGACAGCGTTTTAAAACCAATTAAACTTTATTTATTTTCAAAAAGTAATTTTAAAATCAATGGGATGGCGAAAGCGTACATTAGAGTTTAAAATTATAATTTACTTCAATAGAGCGAAAGTTTGAGAATAGATTTTTAAATAAATACTTTTTGCTGAAAAAGATATTATTATCACTTTTAGAAAATGAGCCTGTAGAAAGCCGGATTCTTTAGCATTAACGACGTACATACCGATATCCGTTTTATTTATATTTATATTCCTTAACCAATATTTTAAAAGAACTATTCGCCTTAGCTGTGTACCGTAACTTAGGATAACAATAGATCGATTTATAGTCTCTGTGGGTTCGATATCTTTTAAAACTACGCGATAGGACTGTGCACTTGCAGTCTCCCGATTAATAGACGATAAAGTCGCGATCAAGTTTTTGGCGCCGTTGCCGGGGACTATTTAAGTCGATATTGTAACTCTGGTGTTACACTGTATAGACTAAGGCATTTTTATTTTATTTACTATGTATAACCCAAATTTTTCCTACGCCCATTATCAATATTATGAGGAACCACAAGAATACCATAATTCCAACCTTGAAATACTGATGAAAAACTTTAATGCTTCACAAACCTACTCCTACCCCAACTACCTTCAGAACTACCAATCCCCATATTTTGAAGAACCACAAGAAACTTATAATTTCAACCAAACCTTTCCTCAACCCAATCCTTCCTACAATTATCACACCCAATATTTTGAAGGATCACCAAAACCATATAAATCTGATCTCGAAATATTAATGGAAAACTTTAATGAATCACGTAGGATGATAGAACGCTTTGGGGAAACACAAAAAGAGACTCTAACTTACTCTGAAGAATCGCAAGATTTTAATTTCGAAACATCAATGGAAGATTCTGATGAGATGATAATTAACTCTAGGTTAGAGTCTATAATTGAGCACTTTGTAGAGACACAATCTATCCAAAATGAAGCACAAATTATCCAAAATGAAGAAGTGCGAAAACAAAGTCTTCAAATTAATGAAACCCTTAGCCAACTAACTACTATGGTTGAATCCCTCGCGTCTCACAGCATGTTCTTAGAGACTAAAATCTCCCAACTCAAACAAAACCTTCTAGAACCTCAACCTGAGGAAGATGTGGATGTTGAAACAACCATTATGAAAATACTATTTGGAAATCTAGAAAGTGATGATGAGCATGAGGAGAGTGATATTATGGCCGAGGAAAGTTCTGACGAGAGAATAGGGGAGGTTGATGAAAATCCATCAACACTTTTCAAAGAGGAGGTTGTAAAAGAGGTAGAAAAGGAAGCATCTATTGTAATCCAAAATCACTACATCCCACTGATTCCCTTCCCGAAAATTTTTATGGAAACTCCGGTAGACTCCCAATCTAAGACGTACGTTGCGGTATTGAAAAATATCCATACTAATTCACCACTATTGGAAGTCTTGCCTAAAAAGCGAAAATTAGAGGACCATAAAATTAGGGATATAATTACTTTTAAAAGGGTGAGGTTAACTTATGAGGCGATGGATGAAATCACTAAGCTAAAAATTGAAAAACCTATACTTAGGATAAATCCAGGACCACTACCTAAATTTCGAAAAAATAACCCGCTCTACAGACGTAAGAAAAGAAAAGGTGAGGGATATGTGAGATGGCTTGATAAGTGGCCATGGAAAATCAACGAGTAGTCATTCTAGTTTTTTATTTTAATTTTTCTTTTTCTTTTTCGTATTTTAAATTTTCCTATTTTATGTTAAATTATTTATCGGTTGCACCCTTTCATCTGATGCGTTTGAACTACTTCCCTAAAATGCCGATAATTATATTCAATTAAATAATCTACATTAATATCTATATAATAATTGAATATTCTAATTATCAATTTACTAAACTAATACTTCCCAATATTTATTATAAGGCATTATTTACTAGTATTATATATATATATATCCTACTAATTACAAGTTTGAATTATCTATATATATATATATATACGAGTATTCTCAAAGCAACGAGTGATCACCCTGATCCTTTCTGATTTCTCTTGGTTTTATCGCATTGAGGACAATGCTTATTTTAAGTTTGGGGGAGTCAGAACATTTCTTTGTTCGTTATTATCTTCTTTGCTCTATTTAGTATCCCCTTCTAGTTTCCTTTTTTTTTTCCTATGTACTGCGAAATTTCCATTTAATAAAATACATGTTTATGAAATTTTAGCCTTTTATGTAAAATTCTCGTGCTTATTCGAATTCCTCCATATTCTTGAGCCATAACGAAAAAAAATTCAAACGTTATATTAACATATTCAACTAGTATTAAGGTTGCATATTTTTATAAATAAGAACTCGAGCGCGACTAAAGCAAA